CACCGAAAAATACGGCAGAATTCAGGTTGTTGTTTATAATATTGTTGGAACGTTGTTCTTTCGTTTTGGGGGGGGGGGATTATTTTCAATTGTCTGGTAAAAATAATTCAACGTTCATTCCACGTAACCATAACAAATCAGTTTTATTTCCTCCTTAACGGTTTTTTTTTTCCAGGTTTGCGCATTTTGTAACTTGTTGCAAGCCTACGTTCGTAGTCACGTTATTTGCACTACAATGACGCAAAAACCAACTTGTACGAAGTAACTATGCGCAATAACTAACACGGATCCAAAATGTAAACATATGCACACACACACACTGACTGATCAGTATACCGGCTAGTAAACTCTCTCTTCTTGATGTTCCACTGCAAGCTCACTTAGCTTATTGACTGGCTCGTCCATATTTATATTTAATCTTTGTTCTAAACAGAGGTATTGCTTGTCACTGGCACACGGGGCCCTTGCCCGATTTTATTTGACAGTGTCCCGAACAATTTTTTTAATCACTGACAATATTTCAAATTGTGCCTTTTTGCGAAAAGGAACTATGTTATCTTTTTTAATACGATTTGACACGTTATAACTTTAATTACTTTATTAAGTCATTACCACCTTAAAGTTTCTGTCAAGGAAATTAATCATGATTGGAAGTGATAGTAAGCTGGTGAGTTATATATATATATTGTTACGACAGCGGGGGTCACGTTACGCTAGTAGCATGTTATATTCTCGAACGTTCACGTCCCTTCCTGAATTTATTTATTTATTTATTTATTATATGTGTGTAACAACTTATGAGGAAGGGTATTTTTCATAACAAGTGTCCGAAAGATAATGGAATAATTCTGAAGTTTTGAAAATTCGGGAAGAATTTGGGTTCATGAAAAAAAGGAAAAGAAAAAATTAAAAAGAGAAAAATGGGAACCAGAAAAACAGGGAATAAAAGAATCTATACCGATTCATTATTCGGTGTTGTCGCTGAAGGCGCGCCACTGTGGCGCTTTTAGTAAACCAGCCAAACGCGGTGAAAAATATTCAAATAATTTTTGGAATATTTATTAAGAGTATAAGTAAAATTAAATCGTGTCAATACCTGTATATACAAAAGAAGCTTAAAAACTGTAAGATGCATTTTGATCAAACGTCTTACATTGACAGAACCTGCATAAAAAAAAAGAGGGTTTGGGGAGTAATGTAGCATACCGAGAGTGAAAGAAAATTGTGATATACACGTACTAAAATACTGCGGGAGACAAGGCAGATATTTCTTAGTTCACCATAATCCAACTGAAAATCGGGAAAATTAAATTGTGGCCAACATAACAATGTCATAGCGCAAAAGCTAATAAATTTTCTCATTGCCGAAATGTGGCTAAGAAAAATTGAGTAAGGTTACGGAAACTTTTCAAAACACACAAACTAGAAAATGAGTATAATATGTACATTAGTTCTACACAAGCGCCGTTGAAAACAGCCTACCACTACTGAACATGCGCAAAGGAACGTTATAAAATCTACACGAAAAAAATGACTCGTGGAAATGAACGAGATGGGGACGTTTCAAGAAGCGATTCTACAAGTAAAATTAGAATTAGGCAAAATTTATTATTGGATCAGTTGGAAGTATTGTTATAATACAATATACTTTTGTAATTTTACCGACATGTTGGGATTTTTGTTGAAATTCACGCAAAGCTATCTGCGCTAGCAGCCTCTAATTTTGAAGTGATAGGCTAGAGGGAAGGCAGCTATTCAACACCACCCACCGCCAACTCTTGGGCTACTCTTACCAATGAAAAGTGTGATTAGCCGTCAAATTATAACTCCTTCAACGCTGAAATGGCGAACATGTTCGGTTACAGAATTGGAACCCGAGAAACCGTAGATTGCGAGTAGAGTGCCCTAACCACCAGGCCACGCCAAGCCTACAGGTTGTGGAAAGAGTTGACATTCTTATATACCGTATTTTTCGGTGTATAAGACGCACTTTTTTAACCCCAAAATTTGATGTCAAAATCTGCTTGCGTCCTATACACCGAAGGTATGAATAATATATATGTATATATACGATATACACAACCCATGCGTAAATATATTTAAATAGGTGTTACGTCTCCGTTTT